GGGGACTGACTCACAGCTGCCTTTGCTTTGCGTGAGTTACACTGGTGTAAAACTGAAGTAACACAGTGGGCTGTGTGAATACAAAAGGGGCTTTAATTGTACCAGTGGCGTGAATGTGGTACAACCCTTCTAATGTAGGTGCAGTTATACCAATATAAATGCTTTTACCAGGATAGCTATTCCTGTTCGGGAAGGGAAATAAGTTAGACTGATATAACTGCATCCACTCTAGTGGTTGTACCATATCAGTAAATAATTGTTATACAAGTACAAAAACTGTGCGGTGAGCAGACCTAAGTCAGATGAGAATCAGGTCCTTTGTTTCATCTTCCAGATTCGTAACCTTCTGTCAGATTCTTAATCTCAGCCGCGGCCCCAGAGCATCAATTCAATTTTTCAGTGCTTTATTGTCCTGATTTTCCCTGCCAGTAAGAGGGAATTATTATATCAATAGATTGTTATCTCAACATCAAGATCTTCCTCTCAAACTCCTGCTGTTTTCATCCAAAGCTTTTCAACTCCTTATCCACTGCCACCGTTATGGCCTTAATTGTGTGCAGTGATTTACTAATATCCACTGAGTTATTGTTTGATGAATCAGATCCCAGGCTCCCCAGGGGAGGCAGGGTGGTGATGAAAGCAGACAAGTGTCCTTTGTGATCACAGGGATTATTGTGGTGTTAGTTATATTACAGTCGTGCCTAAACTAAGCCACCAATTGAGATTGGGGCCCCAGTGTGCTTGTTGCTGTACAGACACATTAGTAAGAGACAGTCCCTGTCCCAAGGAATTTATAATTGAAGTAGAAAACACAGACAAAGGAAGGAACAGATGGAGCGATCAAAGGCCCAGAGAAATCAAGTGATTTTACCCAAGATTATGCAAATTGGACCCTGGTGTCCTGAGTCTGAAGCCAGCACCCTAACCATGAAGCCAGCCTTCCTCTCTTATAAGATTCATTTGTAGAGGCAGGTTGGGAGCAAAATGCTAAAGGCAGCTCTTTTCCATGGACTAGTCCTGTGGGTAGGCACTTGCCAGTGTGAGCAAGGGCTGCACAATCTACTCCTGGCTTGTTAGCAGATTTACTGGTGTAAAATCTGGAGCAACTCTTGACTTCAATTAAAAGGTTCCAGATTTACGCCAGCGCCATTGAGATTAAAATCTGGCCCCTAATAAAAAAAGAAGAGGTATCTGTCACTGTGAGGTATCCAGCAAATTTTATCTAGTAAAGGATTACACAGGCTTTGGGGATGGCGAGACATGCAGTCACTCAATAATATATATCATTGCCCATCAGAATTATCTTGCCAGCTCTGTGGCCGGTATGTGATTATCATATGCAGGGAGGAAGAACTGGATGGTGGCTGCAGAGCTCTGGAAAGGTGGGTTTGTGGCTAAGGTATTAGGCTAGGACTCATAAGTTCCTGGCGCTGCCACTGACTGGCTGTATGGCCGTGGTCAAGTCACGTAGGATATGTCCCCACTGCAATCAGGAGGGATGACTGCAGCATGCGCAGGCCAACTTTGAGCTACCTCACTGAAAAGAGCAGTACAGCTGTTGTGGCACAGGCTATCCTGAGTACAGTCCCACCTGGGACCCGTGACATTGCGGCTAAACTGCTGTTTTGAGTGAGCTGGTCAGCCAAAGCTAATTCAGGTGTGCTGGCTAGAGAGACCCTCCGTCTGGCTTCCCCACCTATAAAATGAGGATAACAAAACTACCTGGGACTGTCTTGTCCCTTTAGATTGCAAGCTCTCCAGGGCAGCAGGTTGTCTCTTACCATGCATCCATACAGTGCTTAGCACGCCCCAATCTCAACTTCCAGCTGCTGCTAATAATACAGATGAGTAATAATCGAGGAGCGCACCGTGCCTTGCAGAGGCAGGGTAGCATTCCTCACCCCTGCAGGTGATCCGCGCTCTCACACAGAACTTGAGTGCAAATGTTATTCAGGGTCAGAGCCTTGTCCAGCCTCTCTTCAAATCCAGCAGCAGCGGTTGCTTTGCCCTCCCTCCCCCACCCCCACACCTCCACCCCATCTCACCTGATCAGAACCTTACATGTGCCGACTACATGTGGCATCAAAAACAAATGTCTCTTTGTTCTGATTACAGCCCCCCATCCCCAGCACTAGGTGAGACACAGGTACATAGGTAGCTTTTATGGCCAGAAGGGACCATTGTCATCATCTAGTCTGGCCTCCTGTACAACAAAGGCCAGGGAACTTCCCCCGAATAATTCCTAGAGCAGATCTGTTAGAAAAACATCCCGGCTTGATTTAAAAATTGTCAGTGATGGAGAATCCACCACAACCCTTGGGAAATTGTTTCAGTGGTTAATTACTCTCACCATTAAAAATGTAGGCTTTATTTCCAGTCTGAGATACAGCCATCTATCTCCATTTTTAGTTGTCAGCGAAAGGAAAGTAGGGAACTAATATGTTGTCCTCACATACACTGTAAGAAACAATCCCGCGTTGGCAGGGAGCTGAATGAGCTAACAGGTCTTTTCCATCTCTCGCTCTTGAGTCAGGCACATTACAGGGAGATTCTGTGGGTGTGTCTTCACTGCAGAACAGGGGTAGGCATACCCATGTTAGCTTTGATCGAATTAGCATCGGTAACAATAATAGTGAAGACATGGCGGCATGGACTAGCAACTTGAATATATACCCAGGGTCCCCAGCCAGTTTATATTCGGGTTCCTAGCCCTTTCTGCCACGTCTAAGCTACTGTTGTTACTGCATGCCTTCCTGTGCTACGATCACACCTTCATTTTGCAAAGAAGATGCCCTGTGTCAGTTTTCTCTAGGCAGCGGTACCACCAACCTTCAGGGCCGGTGCAAGGATATTTTGCACCCTAGGCAAAACTTCCACCTTGCGCCCCCCCTTCTCTCCCCCCGGAGCATCGCTTATTATAAACTTTCAAAAATGAATACTGCATAATGTGGCATTGTTCATTAGAATTAATACACGTTCGACTTGAAAATTTATAAATTTCATTATATTTAATGAAAATAAATACACCCTTTTTAGTCACGTATACTTCCTTCCTTCATTCTTTCATATCAAAATCTATTACATTTTATTCTACCTTTAGAATAGCCAATTATTGTTATTAATAAAATGTATAAAATTAGAATGGCGGATATGCCGTCATACAACAACAACTGACAATATCAATATGACAAATTTCAACAACAAACACGCATATTCGCACATAATAAACATATACACTCAAATACTTAACACACACACACAATTGACACAAAGTATTAGCGAAATGATGCAGCAGCCATTGCCAGAGTCTTAGATCTGAAATAACTCAACAAAAATAGTTAGCCTCAGTCGACAACCTCCGAAAACTAGTAAACGGAGCATTATAAACAGCCTGTCAGAACGGGTAATGGCCGCGCGCAACGAGAAAAATGACGTCATTGCCACTTTGTACCATAGTGAAGCAGTACGCTTGTGCCCGCAACGCAGCGCTGGCGTCGGCTATAGCTGTAATGTACGAGAGAAGAACGACAAGTTAAAATGCAAGTTGAACGACGTTTCTCTTTTCTTTATTCATTCGTTTTCCAGCAATAGTGTAAAAAAAAATTGGGGGGCACCACTTTTTGGCGCCCCCCCAAATCTTGGCGCCCTAGGCGGCTGCCTAGTTCACCTAGTGGTTATGCCGGCCCTGCTGACCTTTCAGCAGTGTGGTCTAGGTCAGTTGTTCTCAACCAGGGGTACGCGTACCCCTGGGGCTACACAGAGGTCTTCCAGGAGGTACCTCAACTAGTTTTACTACAGGCTGCATAAAAAGCACTAGTGAAGTCAGTACAGACTAAAATTTCATACAGACAGTGACTTGCTTATACTGCTCTATATACTATAGATTGAAATGTAAGTACAATATTTATTTCCCAATTGTTTTATTGTATAATTATATGGTAAACATGAGAAAGTAGCAGTTTTTCAGTACTAGGGTGCAGTGACACTTGTGTATTTTTATGTCTGATTTTGTAAGCAAGTAGTATAAGTGAGGTGAAACTTGGGGTACACAAGGCAAATCATACTCCTGAAAGGGGTTCACGAGTCTGAAAAGATTGAGAGCCACTGATCTAGTGGGTAGGGCACTGGACAGGGAGTCAGGAGACCTGGGTTCTTTTCTTGGTTCTCCTGCTGAGTCTCTTTCCCCTCTTTGGGTCTGTTTTCCCCTCTGTAAACAGTCTTTCTTTGCAAAGTGCTTTGAGATCTATAGATGAAAAGTGCTGTGTGAGGGCTAACTGGGGCTGGCTTGCAGCACCTCTGCCATTCTGCTTTCTAGTGCTGTTGCTTTCGTGGAGCTGATATTAGCAAACCACAGGTGTCTGAAGTTGAAAGCCCATTGTGTCACCCAGCCTGTCTCACTCCAGCACAAAAGCACTAGCACGCACACACCCATCTGTCCAGGCTCGTGGGATAAACAGATCAGAAGAATGTTTTTAGAACCACCTGGCTGTCTGTGTAGCTGGCTAGCTAATATCTGTCCCCAAACACCTGCTGAGTTTCACAGCCCGCCAAAGGTGAGCAAATGGGGACCATATCCCCCTACTGATAGCAACCAGCTTTGCAAAGGCCAAAGCTATCGCAGGTGGAGCAGAGAGCCTTTTAAAAGGAAAGCAGGCGAGAGGCGAAAAACAATAGCTCAGTGAAGCTTTTACGAAAGACGATGCCGAAAATAAATTAGCGGGAAGCAGAGTTGTTTTCCTGGAGTTCTGATTGCAAAACCAAGCAAGGAGCTCTTACAACTAGCCAAGAAAAGGAACACACTGCTCCCTCTAGGATGTCACATGCAGCTCCTCTTTATCGTTGCAACTTAATCCTATCCAAGGCATCATTTTGTTTCCCTTAATACTGGGTGCGTTTGTGTTTTCTTTCTCCTTTCTCCCTGTAAACCACCCCTCCACCCCACCACGCCGCCCACTTGCCTCAGCTGTCAGCTGTACATAACCCATGCCTGGAAGGAATTTCCAATAAAGTCAGGTGACTCCCCCTGGCTGGCAGCTCACTTCCCTGCCCTCCCCAAGTCCATGTACTGAGGCTGGGCTTTCGAACCTAGGCTGCATCGAAGGGAGCCAACCAGGCTGACCAGCACCCTGACAAACTGGGATACTCATACAAAATCTCACTGCTGGGGTAAATGCCCTACCAGCCAGGCAGGCGCTGATGGGTGAGTATTTTTGTTGTGGGGTGGTGTCGTGCGCTCTCTACACGCCTCCTTTAATAACTGCTTATTTGATTTTGCAAACGGGGCAGGGAGATGATTAATAGCTCTTTGAGCTTGGCCTGCCTTGGTAGTGTGGATCGGCAAGTGGCAAAGGGACCGTAAGAAAAATGCGGGGTAACTGGCTGAAATGAAAATTCGAAAAGGGCACATTAGGCTGTGGAAAGATGAGGTTAATTTCTTTCCTTTCTCAATTGCCTTTCTGGACTCTTTGGAAATCTTGTGGCTGATTGGCATAATTCTTATATATTCTTCATTATGTATTTGTATTATCGGACACAACCCCTTGGTGTCAGGCGCTGGACATACACAGAACAGACAGACAGTCCTAGCCCCAAAGAGCTTGCAATTTAAATGTAAGACAAAGACAAGAGACAACCAGTCGATATAGACAGACAGGAGAGCAGAAATGCCCATGGCCAGACAACACTGATTGGCAGTGTGGATTTGATGGTTATGTTGACTAAACCCCAGGGATGGACAGAGCTGGGGCTATGTGGAAATCTCACAGATTTTGCTGGTTGGGGATTAGTTTTTCAATACCAGGGTCTGTTCCAATCCAGATCCCAATTTAATCAGACCTCAGCGATGATGGTGGAGGGAGGGGGGTGGATAATTATTCTGAGGGCAAGAGCCCCAGCTGGTGTAGATTGGTGTAGGGACATTAAAGTCAGTGGAACTCTGCTGATATGCACCAACTACAAGATGCTAGTTTGGGTCCATTTCTGATGAACACTGTCTGTAACAAAGCTAATTATTCTCTAGAAATGGGCCCGCTCTAACCCCCCCCCAAACGTTGGGGTGTCTGAAATCTAGCTCTTGCTCAGAATGTTGTACATCAGGGCCCCCGCTTTGCCGTCATGTTGTGGATCGATTTGTACATTTGCTCTAGGATGCGGTCGCTGAGCTGCTAAATGAGACGGGCTTTGGGGAGCTCTGCTTTGAAGTGCTCCCTGGGGAGTCTGGGGAGATGAAGGGACAGTCTGTGCCTTTGATTCAAAAGTCTTTTCCTGGCTACAGTGGAGCAGATTCCTCTGGCAGTCACGGTGGTCTAAATCCAGAGTAACGGCAGCGGTGCCGATGAGCTAACTCTGGATTTACACCGCTGTCAGCAAAATCCCAGCCTGTCCTGCTACGTGTAACTAGGGCACTTGGGAAAGGGGAGCGATAGCAGGAGGCAAAGCCTTCCCATCCGAGAACAGGAGCGTGTCCCATTCGGGTTCACCCCAGGCCACGAGTTTCACTGCCGAGGGGTTAGGTAGGCTTAGCGGAACGGGCCCTGCTAGAGCAGCAGCCTTCCTTTGGCTACGTTAGCGTCGGCCCAGAACGGCGAGCGCAGCGTGCCGTAGAGGAGCCACCTGGAGCTAAACCGGAACGAAAGGGTACAAAGACACGGGTGTCTCCGTGAAGTTTCAGGCACCTTAGCAAAGGATGATGCAAGGACAGGGCATTTGTAATCACAGCCACCAGGGCGCTGTCATATGCCCAAATGTATCTCGCCGTCACGGCACTGCACCGGCTGGGGAGTATTGCCAAGGCATACAGAACATTTACCCAGCTACCTGACAGTGACTGTTACTTTGCACTTTCTCCCAAACGCACCAGCAATGGCAGGCAGAGGAAATACGGTTTTTAGCTGCCTATCCGTCCAGGCTACTGCAATTTCTACCCGTCCTCCCTATGTCCTGCTGCTGTACAAAGCAGCTGACTACATCCTTCGGTGCATCTTTGCATCATGTTCATGAGGGACGTTGGCACCAGCCATAAACTTGATGAACATCAGATTCTTTCAGGAAGGGAGATGCAAGATAAAAGGGCTCAGGGCTTCTGTACCTAAGGATTTCTGGGAGGATGGTTAGAGCTCCTTGCAGAGAACAGAGCTGTTCCTTCTTGGCACTCTGCCCCCATATGCAGCTATTCTTTCCCCGTTCGGCCGTGGTCAAGGGAAGAGCAGGAAAAGTGGATTTAGAAATCCCTTGAGCGCTAATGTGGCACCTGCTTGCCTGTGCATGAAAATGGAAATACACCGAAGGCCTGATCTGAAGTCCGGGAAGAGGCTTGTTCTGACTCTGATGAATGTTGAATCCAGCCCGAAAGCAGCCTCCCGCCGAAGAAGCCGGGAGGCAGATTTGTAAATAAGTCTGGGGCTAGAATGAGAAACCCATCTGTGCAAAAGAGAAGGGAGATTTAATGATTCTAATAACGTTTGAAAAGGGGGAATTTAGGGCTGGTGAAACAAGGTTGGCTCTGGAGGCCTCTGTTGATCCACAGAGCAGGGACACTACATGGACAGCATTTAGGGCAAACCGTTCCCATGCTGCTACAGCCAGTGTGCCACATACCAGAACCCTGTGAAAGAGAGGGGGATTTAACCCGACCGATCCGCCCCCTCACTGGGGTGCAGGGAGGAGCTTTGGTGTGTTTTGAGGCCAAAGATTAAAGGGAAATGGTGTGGTAATCTAGGATGTGGAAGAAATGTCTGTCTGTGAATCTGTAGCTGTCTAATCTATGGGCCATATCCTCAGCTCCTAAACTGCATTAGCGCCATTGCCGATTTATACCAGCTGACTATCTGCCCCGAAATCTGCCTGTCTATGGATTGATCAGCTGTGGAGCCTGGATTTATTAATAGACAGACAGATATTTTCTATTTCTTTTCGGCCAAGTAAAACATAAACAGCCCCCTACCATGTTTATAACCCACAATTTGCAGCACGGTGTTCAGCACATGGGCATTGGAAAGCAGAATCAAGTAGGAATTGACTACTGAACCGCCTGGTCTGTTTTTGACCTCCGCGTTGAATGCAGCAATTATATAAACAAACAGGCTAAACGATGGGCAGTAAATTCAGTGCTTTAAAAACAATTTTGCTTTCAATTTCCTAAAGTGTTTTTAACTAGATTAAATGAATGTCTTTATTTTAAATGCAGTAAAACCTTAGAGTTACAAACACCTCGGGAATGGAGGTTATTCATAACTGTGAAATGTTCGTAACTCTGAACGAAGCGTTATGGTTGTTCTTTCAAAAGTTTACAACTGAACATTGACTTAATACAGCTTTGAAACTTTACTATGCAGAACAAAAATGCTGCTTTCCCTTTATTTTTTAGTAGTTTACATTTAACAGAGTACT